TTTTCTTGACCTCCATGAAAGAGAATTTGCAGAGTAATTGTAGCTTGACGATATTAGGATTACTTAAGCAACTCATTTAAGGTTTTGTAAATCAGCTAAGTGTTCAATTGTCAAGTCCAAAAGGATCAATTTGAATTCGATTCAATTTTCATCCTATTTTCCTTACATTTATTTCTCTCTAAATTTCTCTTTTACCACTCAAGAAGGAAGTTTTTTTCTCACTCTCTCTGTCCTTCTCCGTGCTTCTCTCTTTTGCTCTAGGAACTAATTAATTAGCTTTGGCGACTAATGGTTTCATCAGACTAACTGGCCAAGTTCAACTCAAACTAATCTTGCTTAGCCTCCAAGAAAAAGAAGTTACTGAGTAATTGTAACTTAACAATATTAGTTTAGCATAAGCAACTCATTTAACGTTTTCTAAATCGTCTAAGTGTTCAATTCTCTTGTCAAAAAGCATTAATTTGAATATGCTTTAATTATCATCCTTTTTTTTTTTTTGGGTGGGTAAGTCATAAATTAAAGACAAAAGTTTACACATTTACAAGGGGCATACCCCAGGTAATACAAAGACAAAAGTTTACACATTAGTGAGAGAAGCTCTGACGTCTCTCTAGAAAACTCTGGGTTCAATATCTCATTGATTGCCGATGTCTGGAGTAAATGCTACCATTAATGATAGAGAGGTGGGGGAAAATGCAAAGAGTAAGTCTGTAAAGATATCTGGTCTGGTCAATCGGAATCTAGGGTTTACTAAGAATCGTTTTACGACATTGTGTGACGATTTGATGGCTTCTGAAGCAGAACTGTCTACACCTAGTGGCGAGGGTATCTCAAGCGTAGATCTCAGTGTTGTTATTCCGATGGTTGATCTGCCAAGTGCGGAGGCTCATAACCAGGAAGTGGTAGTCAACGTTGAGGCAAATCGTTCTGAAGAGATGGGTGTTTCGGCTCCGTTCTCGGAATTAGTGGGTTTAGACCTATCTAAATCCCCAATCGATGACGGATCTAAGGATGCTGTGCAGAGCTTGGATAAAATGAAGGTTCCGATGCTCCCAGGTCTTGGTCAGGAACCATCTACGCTGATTGGTAATGAGATTGGCACGAGTTGGTTTGAAATCGTCGAGGAAGAGAATAATAGCTTCCTGAATCTGCCCGATAGTCTGGAGATCGCGCGTAGCAGGGGGGGGCCAAGCCAAATATGGTTCCTATCTCTGAAACCCAGATCCCTCTTGGAGAATCTACTCAAGGGGGAGGTGGTAGGGGGGGAAGCAGTTATCGGGGTGGGAGAGGAGGTCGCTGGGGCTCCAGTGGTAGCAGAACTGTAGAGCAAATGGATCAAGGAAACCGATCATGGGCCAATGTTACTGCCGCATCTACTCGATCAAACATCAAGCTCAGGTATGTCCCTCTAACTGCTGTAGAAGATAGTATTGTGGTAGAAATGCCAGCAAGACTTGACCCTTTGGAGAAATGGGATTCCTGCCTCGTTGGCTATTTTATTGATAAAGGAGTTGGGTATAATTATCTTCGGAACAGTGCGTTTGGGATGTGGAAGGCTAAGGGCCTTAAGGAAGTTCTTACAAATGGGGATGGTTTCATGTTCTTCATTTTTGATACCCCTGAGTGTTGTAGAGACGTTCTAGAGGGAGGCCCATGGTATATTGGGGGTTACCTCCTCATCTTGAAACAATGGAAGAGAATGATGAAGCTTGCCAAGGAGAAATCCACTAAAATCCCAGTCTGGGTGAAATTTTTTAATGTCCCCCTGGAATACTAGGACCCTGATGGCTTAAGCAGGATTGCTAGTGCAATTGGCAACCCCCTCTTTATGGATCAGCTTACGGCTCGAGGTAGTAGAGTGGCTTTTGCTAGAATCTGTGTGGAGATAGAAGCTACATCAAAGTTGCTCTCTTATTTCCAAATCAGGTGTGGTGATGATGCAGTCTTAATTAAAGCTGAATATCAGGGACTGCCTTCTGTTTGTCAACACTGTCAGATCTTTGGACATAGTACTGAGAAGTGTGTTTCCAAACAAGTGGCCCAGTTGATCTCCTTGCAGAAGGTAACCGAAGAGAATGTTAATCCTCAGGAAGAAGGTTGGACAACTGTTCAAGCTAAGGGTAAAAGGAAGGTGGGGGATCCTGAGTTAGAGACTATACCTGAAGTGATGGAGTCCCCTGAAATCCCTTCAGATACGGAGCCCATACCTACCTCAGCTGTAGAGCCTTTGGCTGTTTCAACTCATAATCAAGTGTTACAGGAGGATCCGGCCGAGAAGAGCTCCTCTGTGGAAGAAGTAAGTTCTGACAGTAGTGATGTGGATAGATTTCAAAAGAAGATTTTCGAGATTACAAAGCTGGTTATACCTAATGCTGCTGAAATGTTAGAGTCAGCTCTGAAGGAGGTAAAGAAGTCCCCTACTGTAGCTCAGGTAAACCAGAATATAACGAACAAGTCCTCTGGCAAGGGAAGCAGCAGCCAGAGGAAGAAGAAGAAGTAACCAGTTTCAGTTGGTTGTGGTTTTTGTCATCTCTCCTTTTTGTATCCCAATGACTGTTAAAATTGCTTCATGGAATGTTGGAGGATTGAATGATCCCTCTAAACAAAAAGAAGTTAAGAATTTTGTGTCTAAAGAAAATTTTCATGTCATGGGGGTTTTGGAAACTAAAATAAAGCAAACCAATGAGAGGAAAATTTGTGAAAAATGCTTTGGTAAATGGTCTATGCTCTCCAATTCACAACTAACTGAAACTGGGAGAGTCTGGGTGTGCTGGAACAATGAATATTTTTTTGCTGTTTTTGTCTATGCTACAAATAAGCACGTTTTGAGGAAGGTATTTTTTGATACAATGTTTAATATCTCCCGTGCTAAATCCAAAGTTCCTTGTATTTTTTTGGGTGATTTTAATGCTATAAGGTACCAACAGGAAAAAATTGGGGGTTCTCCTAGCTGGACTTCTGAAAATGAGGAGTTTAATACTTATATTAACGCATCTGAATTGGCTGATCTATCTTATGGTGGATGCCAATTCACATGGGCTAATAAAAGGAGTGCGGGAGCTTTCATAGCGACCAAGATTGACAGAGTCCTGGTTAATGAGGCCTGGCTGGATAAGTTTCCTGAGTCTACGGCTACTTTTCTCCCGGCTGGTATGTACAACTCGATAAATGACTTCTGGTCTCAACACCCAGATTTTCTTAGCACTGTTTCTAATACCTGGTTTCAATATATTCGTGGTGTCCCTATGTTCAGAATTTGTCAGAAGCTGAGACAACTCAAAGTCAGCCTTAAGCTTCTTAATAAAAAAGATTTTAGTGATCTATCCACTCGTGTCCTTATCTCTAAGGCTAGTTTGGATCTTGCTCAAATTAAGCTTGATAAGGATCCTTTGAACTGTGAGCTTCAATCTAAGGACAGAGAGGAGTTGAAAAGATACATTGATCTTAGCAATTTGGAAGAGTGTCTTGCTCTTCAAAAATCCAGAGTCCAATGGCTTGGTCTTGGGGATAGGAATAGCAGCTTCTTTTTTAGGTCTGTTAAGAGTAATATTAATAGAGGTAAAATCATGAGTGTGGTTATGGAGGATGGTTCTAGGTCCACTAAGTATACTGATATTCATGATACTTTTGTCCAGTTCTATACCAAGCTGTTTGGTACCCCTATCTTGGGGGAGTACAATGGTCTTGAGCGTATCAAATCGCTGGTGAATAAAAAGGTTTCTAATTCTCAATCGGCTCTTTTAGCTAAACCTGTTTCGGATGTTGAAATCAAGGAGGTTTTTTGGTCTCTTAAAGCCAATAAAGCTCCTGGCCCTGATGGGTATTCAGCTAGTTTCTTCAAAAGCTCTTGGAATATTGTTGGGAAGGAGGTTACTCTTGCCATTAAGTCATTTTTTGACTCTGGTAAACTCCTCTCGGAGTTCAATAGCACCATCATTGCTCTTATTCCTAAAATTCCTAATCCTATGAATGTTGGTGACTATAGGCCTATTTCTTGCTGTAATACCATCTATAAATGCATTGCCAAGATAATAGCTAACAGAGTCAAATTGGTGCTTCCTGATCTGATTGATCCTGTGCAATCTGCTTTTGTCCAGGGTAGAAGAATCTCGGACAACATCTTTCTGTCCCAAGAGATTATGAGGGGTTACCACCGGAGTTCTAAAACTCCGAAGTGCGCTATGAAGGTGGACATCATGAAAGCCTACGATACTGTGAGATGGGAGTTTATTATTGATATCCTCACTGCTATGGACTTTCCTCCTTGCATGATAAATTGGATTAGAGCTTGTATGACTAGTCCTTCCTTCTCCATTTGTGTTAATGGTAGTCTTCATGGGTATTTTAAAGGGGCTAGGGGGCTTAGGCAAGGAGACTCTATGTCCCCTTATCTTTTTGTCTTGGCTATGGAGGTTTTGGCTAGAATTCTTGCTGAAAAATCTAGAAACCCTCTTTTTAAGTTCCATTGGAGATGTGAGAAGACTAAAATTGTTAATTTGTGTTTTGCTGATGACCTTATGATCTTCTGTAGAGGGGATCCGGGGACTGTTAGTCTCATCATGCAAGGTTTGGAGGAATTCAGGAAATTGTCCGGTCTCACTCCTAATCCTAATAAGAGTAATATTTATTTTTCCGGGTGTAGTAGTGAGCTTAAAGCTAATATTTTGCACATTGCCAAATTCACTGAGGGCTCTCTCCCTGTGAAATACTTGGGTGTGCCTTTGATCACCACTAAGCTTAGAGCGTCTGATTGCCAAACTTTGGTTGATAGGATGACTAAAAGGATTAAAAGCTGGACCAATAAATTGCTATCTTATGCTGGAAGAGCCCAACTCATCCAGTCTATTCTTTTTTCGATGCAAGTTTATTGGTCCGCGACATAGAAAATCTTCTCAGATCTTTCCTTTGGTCTTGGACGGAGCTGAAAAAACATAGTGCTAAAATTGGTTGGAAGCAAATTTGTAAAAAAAAAAGATGAGGGTGGGCTTGGTTTTAAGGATATGGAGGTTTGGAATAAAGCGGCTATAGCCAAACATGTTTGGTATTTGTTTTCGGGTGGGGAATGTTCTATGTGGTGTCAATGGGTTAAGTCATACTTACTTAAGGGTAAGAGTTTTTGGGGTATTAAGGTGCCCAGTGATCCCTCCTGGGTTTGGAGGAAACTATTGTCACTTAGGGATTTAATTTTCCCCCTTATCAAATTCAAACTTGGTAATGGTGGAAATGTGTTCCTCTGGTATGATAACTGGCACCCCTTTGGTTCGCTTCTGCTTCGGTATGGTCCTAGGATTTTGTATGATACCAACCTTCTTGATAGTTCTAAGGTTAGTTCTATTATCTCAAATGATTCTTGGAATTGGCCTTTTCCTAACTCTTGGGAGATACAGGAATGGATTGCAGCCACTCCTCCTTCTCTTAAACCTTCCCTTGATTCCCCTGATATTCCTGTGTGGAGCTTGACTGCTGATGGCTCTTTTTCTATCCACTCTGCTTGGGAATGTTGGAGGGACAAGGGCCCAAAGGTTACTTGGTCTAATCTTATTTGGGGTCCTCCTGTTATCCCTAGGGTTAGTTTCATTGTGTGGCTGGCTATCCATGAGAGACTTAACACTGGGGATAGGCTCCAAATCTTTGGTCTCCTTACTAGCCCTAGCTGCCCTTTATGTTGTGCCCTTGAGGAAAACCATTCCCATCTGTTCTTTAGGTGTCACTACTCCTCTAGGATTTGGGCTGTTATCCAAGCTAAATGTAATTCCCACTGGCCTTCTCTGCCCTGGTTGGAACTTGTTGAGTTTGCTACTAAATCCATCAATGGTAAATCTCTGAAATCTGTGATTATGAAACTCTCTTTTCTCTGCACTATCTACCACATTTGGATGGAGAGAAATAGTAGAATCTTTAGTAAGGTTTTCAAACCTGAAGAGGTTGTCACTAACTCTATCATCCAAATGGTCAGGGGTAGACTCCTTTCTATGGAAAATGTGAAAGCTTATGCAGGTGACAACTGGTATTTGGAACAATGGAACCTGCCCTCTAAAATCCTGTTGCAGTCCCAAACTGCTGCAGTTGAAAGGAATTTGAGTGGTGTGAGTTATCCTACATTGAGGGTTGAGTGATGGTGAGCAGATATGGAGTGTTTTGTCTAACAAAGGGTGCTGTTTTGCAGATGGTTTTTATTCTCAGATTCTATCAGCTATTATGGACCCCAAATGTTTACAATATCTGGAGCCTATGAAGGGAGGGTTGAGGGATGTGAGCCAATACAGATACTATTGTAAATGTGGGTTGAGTGGGGGGAGGAAATACATATATTTTCTAACTTGTGCCATATATTATATATATATATATATATATTATGCAGGTTCATGGAATTCTCAAGTACATTGTTCAGCTGGCTGGAATAAGTGAGCACGAGATTTGTAGGCCGAGTGATAGGAGATATTACATTGAGTAGAGAGCTCTCCTTTCTTGTGGGTCGAGTGAGGGGAGGTCCTATACTGAGTGCTTGTTGTTTCTTCTTCTTTATGACTCAATATATTATTATGGCAACTCCTTTCTATTATCTGTTGAACAGGTTAAGCAGCAACTTGTAAGGTGGGATTGCTCCTGGCAGTTTCTTTCGGATTGTTGTTGGGCTTGTTATTGGGCTGTGGCTGCAAGTAGCCTGCTGTTGGTATGCTTTTGGGCGTTGGCAGCAATCTGTGCCTGGTATTGCCTGGTGGTGTGACGGTGACGGCAACCAGCGTCTCTATTTGACGTTGTACGCTGTGTGGATATGCTCTTTGGTGATGGTTGCAAGTTGCGCCTTGCCGAGGCATCTCAGTGGGTTCAAAAGCTGTTTTCATTTCTGTCTGTACATATACCCGTATAGTGTGTTTGTAATTTTGTATACCATAATTTTGTCCCCTCTGTGGGCTGTTTTGTCTTTAGTTCTGGCCTTGTTTGAGACTAAGTACTAGGCTGGTGTTTTGTTGGTCCTCATGTTGGTCCTTGTATTACCCCAGTTCGGTGCAACTGCTGGGCTGGTGTTGTATTTGTGCAAGACCCCTGTCTGTTGTGGGGACATGGGTTTTGAACAATTATTATGTTCTGCTTAGTTGTATTGGCTGCGTGTGTTCCCGGTCTAGTGGGTTGGTAGATTTTTGTTTCCTTTTCAGTTTGGGTGTCTTTGTTGTAGTTTGTGTTAGGGCTTGGGGGATGCCCCTTGTATTTGTGTAAATTTTCCTGTTTATTTATTTCTTATTCACCCAAAAAAAAAATAGAAAGAATCTCATGCTGCCCCCCAAAGGAGGGGGGAAACTATTACAAATAAAATAAATACAAAATAACAAATTAACATAACCCATAACTGCAGGGTACCCAACAAATAAAGCATAAATAGATTTTAAAACTTTAATTATCATCCTATTTCCCTTTCTTTTCTCTAACCTTCTCTTCTAACTCTCAAAAAGAAAGTTTCTCTCTAACTCTCTCTGTACTTCTCCATCCATCTGTCTTTCGTTCTAGGAACTAATTTGGTTAGGCAACTAATAATTTCATTAGCTTAAGTGGCCAAGTTTTTTTTGGGTGAATAAGAAATAATATAAAACAGAAAGATTTACAAAAATACAAGGGGCATACCCCAGGCCCTAACAACAGAAAAACAACACGAGCCTCAGCCCACAGACACCGAAGCCCAAAAAAAACACAAACAAAAACACTAGACCAAACCTAGGAGCTACATCCGAAAATTAGGAGAGCCAAAAGAAAACTTAGCCAATCGAACTGTACAAAGGCCATATCCTATGATGAATAGGGGACCTTGTACAAAAGACAAAACCAGCAACCAACAAGCACCACTACAACAGTCCAAAACTCCCTACACAACCCGTAGGGATAGGCACCTGTAACAAAATAAATATAATACAAAAATAGTAACCCAAGCAAACCGAAGTGATGAACCAAGAGGGGCCCATCTTACCGAATTGCTCAAAAAACCTGTTACACGAGACACCAAAGTACACATGAAACCTCCTACACAACCCGTAGGAGTAGGCAAACTGCAAACTACAACTGTGTACAAATAAAAATAAAAAGAAAGACCACTGATTAGCTCCCACTTGTAGCATAGCAAGGCGCTTGAAGCAGCCATCACCATGGTACATACACACCCTGCCAACTGCCACCCAAATCTGAACAGCAATCAGCCACCACTCCTCCACAGCAAGAGAGAAATAAAAGAAATGAAGATAGCTTATGAACCCACTAAAATGCCTAGGCAAGGCGCAACTTGCAGCCATCACCGAAGAGCAAATCCACACAGCGTACAACGCCAAAGAGGGGCGCTGATTGCAGCCACCTTCACACCACCAGGCAAACCCCGGCACAGATTGCTGCCAATGCCCAGAGATAGTCACCAACAGCAAACTTCTTGCAGCCAAAGCCCAAATCCAGTAACCATCCAAAAGGAACTGCCAGGAGCAATCCCACCTTACAAGTTGCTGCTTAACCTGTTCAACATGTAATAGAGAGGAATTTCCATAACAATATATTGAGTCATACAGAAGAAGAAACAACAAGCATTCAGTATAGGACCTCCCCTCACTCGACCCACAATAAAAGAGAGCTCTCCACTCAATGTAAGATCTCCCATCACTCGGCCCACATATTCCGTGCTCTCTCATTCCAGCCAGCTGAACAATGTACTTGAAATTCCATAAACCTGCACAAAAATATATATAATATATAGTACATGTTAGTCTAAAATATATGTACTTCCTCCCCCCACTCAACCCACATTTACAAGAGGAACTGTACTGGCTCACATCACTCAACCCTCCCTTCATAGGCTCCAGATTTTGTGAATATTTGGGATCCATAATAGCTGATAGAATCTGAGAATAACACCATCTGCAAGACAGCACAATTTGTTAGACAAAACACTCCTTATCTGCTCACCATCACTCAACCCTCAATGTAGGTAAACTCACACCACTCAAATTCCTTTCAACTGCAGCAGTTTGGGACTGCAACAGGATTTTAGAAGGAAGGTTCCATTGTTCCAAATACCAGTTGTCACCTGCATAAGCTTTCACATTTTCCATAGAAAGGAGTCTACCCCTAACCATTTGGATGATAGAGTTAGTGACAGCCTCTTTAGGTTTGAAAACCTTACTAAAGATTCTACTATTTCTCTCCATTCAAATGTGGTAGATAGTGCAGAGAAAAGAGAGTTTCATAATCACAGATTTCAGAGATTTACCATTGATGGATTTAGTAGCAAACTCAACAAGTTCCAACCAGGGCAAAGAAGGCCAATGGGAATTACACTTAGCTTGGATAACAGCCCAAATCCTAGAGGAGTAGAGACACCTAAAGAACAGATGGGAATGGTTTTCCTCAGGAGCACAACATAAAGGGCAGCTAGGGCTCGTAAGAAGACCAAAGATTTGGAGTCTATCCCCAGTGTTAAGTCTCTCATGGATAGCCAACCACACAATGAAACTAACCCTAGGGATAACAGGCGGACCCCAAATGAGATTAGACCAAGTAACCTTTGGGCCCTTGTCCCTCCAACATTCCCAAGCAGAGTGAATAGAAAAAGAGCCATCAGCAGTCAAACTCCACACAGGAATATCAGGGGAATCAAGGGAAGGTTTAAGAGAAGGAGGAGTGGCAGCAATCCATTCCTGTATCTCCCAAGAGATAGGAAAAGGCCAGTTCCAAGAATCATTTGAGATAATTGAACTAACCTTAGAATTGTCAGGAAGGTTGGTATCATACAAAATCCTAGGACCATACCGAAGCAAGAGCGAACCAAAGGGGTGCCAGTTATCATGCCAGAGGAACACATTTTCACCATTACCAAGTTTGAATTTGATAATAGGGAAGATTAAATCCCTAAGCGATAAAAGTTTCCTCCAAACCCAGGATGGATCACTGGGCATCTTAATACCCCAAAAACTCTTACCCTTAAGTAAGTAGGACTTAACCCATTGACACCACATTGAACATTCCCCACCCGAAAACAAATACCAAACATGTTTGGCTATAGCCACTTTAATTATGGTGTTTACTTGCCATTTCACATGCATTAGGGTTTTAACACACGGACACGTATTTGGATCTTCTTGTACGATGGCAGATATGTAATTATGGTGTTAACTTGCCATTTCTCATGCATTCGGGTCTAAACACACGGACACGTATTCGGATCGTCTTGCATGATGGCAAATATGTAATTATGGTGTTTACTAGCCATTTCTCATACATTAGGGTTCGAACACTCGGACACATATTGAAACCATCTTGCATGACGGCAGATATGTAATTATGGTGTTAACTTGCCATTTCTCATGCATTCGGGTCTAAACACACGGACACGTATTCGGATCGTCTTGCATGATGGCAAATATGTAATTATGGTGTTTACTAGCCATTTCTCATACATTAGGGTTCGAACACTCGGACACATATTGAAACCATCTTGCATGACGGCAGATATGTAATTATGGTGTTAACTTGCCATTTCTCATGCATTCGGGTCTAAACACACGGACACGTATTCGGATCGTCTTGCATGATGGCAAATATGTAATTATGGTGTTTACTAGCCATTTCTCATACATTAGGGTTCGAACACTCGGACACATATTGAAACCATCTTGCATGACGGCAGATATGTAATTATGGTGTTAACTTTACAAGCATTGATCCAATTTATCATGCAAGGAGGAAAGTTCATAGCAGTGAGGATATCAATAATAAACTCCCATCTCACAGTATCATAGGCTTTCATGATGTCCACTTTCATAGCGCACTTCGGAGTTTTGGAACTCCGGTGGTAACCCCTCATAATCTCTTGGGACAGAAAGATGTTGTCCGAGATTCTTCTACCCTGGACAAAAGCAGATTGCACAGGATCAATAAGATCAGGAAGCACCAATTTGACTCTGTTAGCTATTATCTTGGCAATGCATTTGTAGATGGTGTTGCAGCAAGAAATAGGCCTATAGTCACCAACATTCATAAGATTAGGAATTTTGGGAATAAGAGCAATGATGGTGCTATTGATCTCCGAGAGGAGTTTACCAGAGTCAAAAAATGACTTAATACCTCCTTCCCAACAATATCCCAC